TTTTCTTTTCAGCAGGATATCTGATACTTTGTAGACCACGTGCTTTCAAGCAATTTTTTGTTTTTTTGTATCCTGTCTCTGTTTCATCCCATCCCTGATTGCAACTTGTCTTGTTGCCTCCTTTCTCTGAAGAAGGCTATGTGAAATGGAAGATGTAGGGAGACCTGGGCTAAGGAATGTCATCAGCTCTGTTCTTCAGATTCCAGATTCCTGTCCTCAGCTTCCTTATCTGTAAAATGGTGCTATTGATGCAAAACTTCTAAATTTGTTGTAAGTACTTTATGTAATATGTTAACTAATTAAGATCCCATGAAATAATGCCTGGCACACACTAAGCACTGAAAAGATAAGACTAAGATATCAATGATAATGATAATTCTGTTTAACTTAGCAAATCTTATATGTATACTATATTTCATAATATGAACTTCAGCAAAATATAGTTTTAAATTGTTGTACCAAGTAAATATGAACATTTATGGCACTTAATTAAGTCAAATCTTGAAGGAGTATAATGCGTATAACAAAGCTTGTAAAGCATGTGTAACTCCCTTGTAAAAATAGGGCATGGCTTTATGTGCATATTTTAAATTTAAACAGGAAGAAAATACCTATTAGCTTTCTTTTAAATTTTTAAAATTTGCATATCAATTGGAGCCAAATCTGATAGGGAATTTAATCAAAATGAGAAGCAGAATAAAATCTACATGAAGAGGAGATGCAGAAGAAAAACTGGTATAATAATAAATTGATTATCTGAGCAAAAATCAATAACCTTAATGATTACTAAACACAAAAGGAAATGGAGTGCAACTGAATGATTACATCATAAAACTCCTTAACACAATTATTTATTTCATTTCCTTTAGCGTTAGAGTCACATTTTCCTTCTATTTATTAGACTTGCTTTGATTTGTGAATAAAATTACCGAACAGTCTATAGACCTGGATTTGGCATTTTCTCTTACGCCCACTAGATGGCAGGTATAGGATTCTGAATACTTTTCAGAAGCTATAAGTCACTTTTTCTTTCTTTCTTTTTCTTTCTTTCTTTCTTTCTTTCTTTCTTTCTTTCTTTCTTTCTTTCTTTCTTTCTTTCTTTCTTTCTTTCTTTCTAATACTAGATGAGAAAACTGATTTGGTTGAAAGTAGAATACTTTAGAAATCAATCTCTCCCTCTGCCCACCCAATATCTTACACATAGCTTAAGAAAAAAAGAAAAGGAAAAAAAAGAAAGACTAGTAAAACTGGAAAAGAAATATAGAGTTTCTTCTAATAAGGCATTTAAAGTCTATCTACAATTACACAGTAAAACAAGAGTCCTCTTGGGTATTTGTTTTCTTTATTTTAAAATTGTAAAACTAAAATCTAGCAATGACTCTGTACTCAACTAGACATTATTTTTGCACGCTACATTCAAGATTTTTTCTCTCTCCTTTAGACACATACAACTCAAAGTAGTATGGTATCTTAATACCTTATGATTCCCACCCTTTTATTTCCACACAAAGGAAAGCTTGGTAGAACTTTGTTATGCAGGGGAGAGTTAGAGATTATACTGTAAATTGGTAATCAATTTACTTTCATTTTCTTTATGAAAAGAGACAGTAGGCAATTAGGGAATTTTAGAGATTCTTTTTCCCTGCTTTACCACAATTTTAATGAGAAGGGTTTTTTTTTTTCTCCTCTAACTTGAAATGTAGTTGAAATGACCGAGTTTTGTGCTTTGAATGTGTGTGCCTTTCCCCTGAATCACCCCAGCTCTGGAAACGTAAAGGGCCAATCTTTGTTCCAGAGGAGTTCATTGCAGAGAAGGGTGTGTGCTGCAAAGACAAACAGGTCACACAGATAGTTGCCAAGGGCACCGAATACATCTTTGCATTACAGCTTGAACTAGCATGCTCATATCGCCTCTTTTTATTACATACACCATAAATGACTATAAAAGTTTGCAAATCTTGCAGAGACCTTGGCAATCAATACTTCAGCAGGAAATTCAGAGAGGAGGGTGGGGAAAGAAGAGACCCAGCCTAGGAGTTTGCTTTTTGGCACAAAATCATACATTGACATTGAGAATTATTAAGTGTTGGATTTTTCAGTGTCTCATTCAGATGTGTAATATACACAGAACAGTTACAATTTAGACCCTCAAATTTGAAATCTTGACTTTGTAGTTTTCTTAACATGTAACGGAGGAGTCTGTGAACATTCCTGTGCCTTCCTTACAAGGACTTAAACTGTTGCTCTTGATGTGTGACTTCAGCAGAAAATAAGGATTTATTTTTACATGGGTCAATGTGGGGCCAAATAGGATGGCTAGTCTCCTATGTAATGCCTCCATCTTTGGTGCTTTTTAAGACTGTCTGATCGCTCCAAAGCCCAAGCAAGTGTGTGGTTCCCTCCCACCCTCCCTCCCTTCCTTCCTTCTTTCCTTTTCCCCTCCCTCTCTTCCATGGTAGTGGTGCTGGGGGCACTAATCAACTCCCGTACCTTTGTTCAATAGGCCTTCCTACTAAAAAAAAATTTTTTTTTCCTTGTTTCACCGCGTTAAACACAAGTTAGAAACTGACCGCCTCACGGAAAGACTGACAAAGCAGATAACAGGCCAGGGGTGGAGGAGGGGGCGGAACTCATTGGAGGTCAGCGCACAAAATCCAAGAGGAGGAAACGACCAGGCATCCTCTCTCCTGTGGGCGCGAATCGCAGTGCAACACAGCACCCGCAGTCTCAGCCCGTGCTTTGGGCAGCGTCAGGAGGCGACAGGATTGTGTTTTCGCTCAAAGAGAAAAACGCTGGGTGCAGGGCCGGGCTCTCCGGTTTGGCTGATCCGCGCCCCCGCCTCCCTCGCCCACCGGGCCAGCCCTGCCCCCGGGCCGGAATCCCTGCCTCCTCTCCGAGGCACCAAACATTCCGGGCCTCCCGGGAGTTTTTGAAATTCTGGCGGAGGCTGTTTTATCCGTGGTTTCCTCTAGGACTCTGTTTCACCTGTGATCCTGTGTGTATGGGAGGCTTTGAAGAAGTCACTGGGCTTTCCCAAAATATAGGGGAAAACACGAACACACAGACATAACCTAGGAAGTGGAGAACTGAATGAGTTTCCTGGTCCTGTCCCCCAACTCTTGCATTTAAACGTCGCTAGGGTGGTCACACCCTCGATTGCGCCAGATCCCCTGAGATGACCGCCGCCCCTCCCGCGCCTCGGAGGGCAGAGGACTCTCCCCTTTCCGATTGTTGAGGGCTTTATGTCTGGGGCCAAGGGTACGGAGCTGTGCTCCTAAATCGTTTCGGGGCTCTTCGGTCAGGCAAACGTTTTCCCGAGGTTCAACCCTCAGGTTCAGAGAGCTCTGCGGGAGGCCACAGGAAACAGCTCTTCATTAATACAGTTAGAACTCTTCCTGGGGAAACCCAGGATTCTTACCCAGACAATCTAAGGGGCGTCAGGAAGAAGGCAAAAATGGTTTTAAATAGAAGATCACCAAAGCAGACAGGAAAAGTACGGGTTAAACGAGACATTGCATAGGAAAGAGAAATAAAGGGCTTTTAAAAATGCTCTTTTTGTATTTAATTTTAGGTTTAAACAGCACTTGCGACATCAATACGAATGTAATATGCCCCATCCACCAAATAGCGAAACGGAGCTTTCTATCTCCTGAGAATCTTTCCTTGAAAAATTATCCCAATCTTGGCCTTATTGTGGCTCCCCCAACCCCCACGCGCCCCGCCAAACACCGGGGGACAACTCTCCATAGACCACATTTTTCATCTTCTCCAGTTTAAACCCAAGCCATGGAGAATCGTAATAAATTACTTTCAGGAACAATGTAAGTGATGTTCTAAAGCTTGGCTGTTTGGAGTTGGTTTAGCTAGCAAAAGCTGCCCAGCTCTAGAGTCAAGTCAACTCTTGTACTTTGTTTTAACTCTTAAAGTCGCGCATCCATCCACCCATTCATTCATCTGAAACCACTCCCTTCCCGTTCCCGATCCAGGAAGCCGGCCTTGTTAATATCAGCTGTTCTCAGAAATTCTTCTAAATTGAGAAATGCAATGCTTTTCTTAGTAACTAGGATTTCAGAATTCACTTCCTTGAGCGCCCGACAGTTTCTCATCATTCTGTGATAAGACTCTCCTGTTGATAAGATTCTCTGGCAAAGGTTCTCTATATGGTGTCCAAATAATTTCGGACCACGGAATATGTGATTATTTCTTGGTAGATCAGCGACCTTATCACACATCAATAATGATTTGATTATCTGAAACCAAACCCACTGACATTGCAGATTAACAGTAATATAAGCTGAGACTTTTGAATCAAAATATGATTTCTCTGCTAGGAACAAGAGATGCCAGGTGTCATTAAGCTTCTGTAATGAGAATGAAGAATGTCTTTCAGTTTTATGGGGACTATGCACTTGTATTTTGGTATATAATAAGACAACCATTACTATCAGAGCATGTGGAAAAAATTTTTAAAAGAGAGTGTCCATAGGTGATCTGTAACAACACACCTATGAAAAACCTGCATAACAAATGAAACCTGTTAATCCTCACTCTTTCGGCCTCGCTGAGCTGGAAGGTTTCCAGGGAGCGATTGGGTCAGTGGCCACTTTATTGCGATGCTTTGAGAATCCCGTGGGCAAAGAGTACCCAAAGAATGTGTTTTGCTCAAGAAACACGATTTAAAGAAAATGGTATAAGATCTCTCTCCATTGTTTGGATTTCTAAAACAGCCAACTATTTGCTTTTAAGAGTCTTTCAGCAAGATATTCTCAAGGAGGAAACTGAGAAAGTTTAGTAAACCCAATCTAAAAAGAAAAAGAAAGAAAAACCCTAGCGCTTTGATCTCTTTGGATTTGTTATTACAGTCTTAGAATAACAGCCAAACCCAAACCCTGGTCGGAAAAGAAAAACCTTACGGATTAAGTAACTATTTATCTCAGGAGAATAATTACTTGTTTGACCTGAAGTCATTCATTCCTGAAACACTAAGTTAAATTGCTGAGATTTTTTGAAAACCACAGCTTCGACCATATTCCTGGTTAACAACGTCTAACCAAAATGAACGGAGCACCGCGGGTGAGCCGGAGCACTACTCTCAGGTGAAGACGACTCCGGAAAGCGCCTTGGGTGTGAGATGGAGGAGACGTTTTCCATCAGATTCACAAGTAGAAAGGTACTTAAGGACTAAATCACAGGTAGCTGGTATGGTCGGGAAAGGAAAGCCAGTCTCCCTTTTCTTCCCAGAACTGATGCAGAGAAAGGTGATTCCGAGCTTGAGGGAAAAATTGTAACCTCAGTCCCAAAGTGCAATTTAAAGAAACGGCCGAGCAGTGCCCTAGGGGTGAGTCACAGAGCTGCCCAGGGAGCTCGCCTAATCCCCTTTAATGACACTTCCGCCCTCTTCGGGACCTCTCGGGCTCGGAGTTGCAGCCCCATTCCAGGGCCAGCGGGTTCGTGCCCGCCACCGCTTGTCCCCTTGCACTTCCCGGGAGGGGGTCGACACCCAGGAGGAGGCGTGACCCCGAGCTCCGCCCGGCGCGGGCTGGGTGCCGCAGGCGGGGTGTTGTCAGCCCTGGCGGGGACGGTTTGCCTCGTGCACTTCGCACTGACGGAAATTTCAGCATGTGCACTTTGGCAC